GGATCGCGCCGCATCGCTGATACATGGGCGATACATCGCCGATGCATCGGCGATGCATCGGCGACATCGGCGATGCGTCGGCGACGTCGGCGCGGAAAAACACGGGCTCCACATCGAGCCGCATCGTCGATGCATCGGCGATACGGCGCGATCCTCCGACCCATCTACTCGAACCCCATCTAGGAGGCCTGGACAAAAACCGTGAACGTCGAGCCCTGCTGCAATTAGGTCGGGCATGTCCCGTACAGTCGGATTTTTGATGAAAAATTGAAAATACTCAAAACATATGCAAACAATACTCAAACATACAAATTCGCCGGCCCAACGGGCCAGAGGCGTGCTAAGATCTCCGGTAACTGGTTAACAATTCTCTAGTTCGCGCGCGCGGGGCGGCCCCTGGGGGTCCACGGACGAAAAGTACCCCGGCAAGGTCCTGAGAGAGTCCCGGGAGGAGTCCCCCAGAGCGCTCCAGGAGCGCTCCATGAGCGCACCAACAGGGCTCCGAGACGTCCCCGAGAGCCCCAAGAAAGGCCAAGAGGCCCCCAAGAGGCCCCCAAGATGGTACACGAGGGGTCCGACATGCCACAAGATCGCTCCAAGACGCCCAAGATAGCCCCCAGACGCCCCAAGAGGCCTCCAGAGCACTCCCAAGAGGGCCCCCGGAGGCAAAATTCATTGTTTTTCCTTAGGTTTTTGAGAGATTTTGGAGCTTCCACCTTTTCGGTTCCCGACGCCCCAAGACGGCCCCAGAGGCCCCCAAGATCGCCCCAAGAGGGCCCAAGAGGCCCCCAAGAGGGCCCCAAGATGGCCCAAGAGGGCTCGAAGACGGCCCAAGAAGCCTCCAAGACGGTCCAAGAGGGCCCCAAGAACACCCCCAGAGGGGCCCCAGAGAGGGAACACGAAACAAAATTTCGAGCCCTCGGCCCAAGAAGCCCCTACGAGGCCCCAAGAGGCCCCTAAGAGGCCCCAAAAGGCCCCCACGAGGCCCTCAGGAGGCCCCCAAGAGTCCCCCAAGCGGCCCCAGGAGGCCCCCCAAATGCCCCCCCGAGCGCTCCAGGAGTCCCCCAAGCGGCCCCAGGAACCCCCAAAGCGCCGCATTGACACCAGGCCCTCGGGCAAACGGCAGACATGAGACCGTATGGGCCGGCGGAATGAGCGAAGCGATTAATAACAAAAACGTCCCCAGACAACTGTTGACCATTTTGGAATATTCCTCCAGCACAGGGACACTCCCGACTTCATGCTACAACCGCAGAGCGCGTTGCTTTGTTTTCGGCGATAATGGGCATTGTAAGGGGGGAAGGGCCAGGGGGGTATAATCCGCCGACCCCAGAGGCGTGTGCGACTGAAGTGTTCACTTCTGGGTTACTTCGACAACTCCTCGCTCATAACCAACCTTCACCCCCCCCGGGCCCCGGCACCCTCTCATCCCCCCCAGAGCACCCCCAGCCGGGACCTCTCCTCTTGGGACCCCCGACCCGACCGAACCGACCCTGACCCCCCACCACGCCCCCTCCAGGTCCGACCCCCGCACCCTCCTGGAGGCTCCGTTCTTGGGACCCCCCACTCGGAAAGTCTGCGCCCGGAACCGACCCTGACCCCCCACCACGCCCCCACCAGGTCCGACCCCCGCACCCTCAAAACCGCCCAACGCCTTTCACCGCGCCTCTACCACGCCCCGGCATCCCCACCCCACGCGAGCTCTGTTCTTGGGACCCCCCACGCGAAAATTTCCTAGCCAAAACCGACCCACGCCCCCCACCGCGCCCCCCCGCATCCCCACCCCACGCGAGCTCTGTCTTTGGGACCCCCCACGCGTCAATTTCCAAGCCAAAACCGACCCACGCCCCCCACCGCGCCCCCACAACGCCCCGGCACCCCCCACCCCACGCGAGCTCTGTTCGTGTGACCCCACACGACAATTTCCCGGCCAAAACCGACCCACGCCACGCCCCCCGCCGCGCCCCCACCACGCCCCAGCATCCCCCACCCCACCCCACGCGAGCTCTGTTCTTGGGACCCGTCACACGAGAATTTCCCAGCCAAAACCGACCCGCGCCCCCCACCGCGAGCCCACCACGCTCCGGCATCCCCACCCCGCGCGAGCTCTGCTCTTGGAACCGTCCACACGACAATTTCCAAGCCAAAACCGAACAACGCCCCCCACCGCGCCCCCACCACGCCCCAGCATCCCCACCCCACGCGAGCTGTCCTTGGGACCCCCCACGCGACAATTTTCCAGCCAAAACCGACCCACGCCCCCCACCGCGCCCCCACCACGCCCTGGCACCCCCCCCACCCCACGCGAGCTCTGTCCTTGGGACCCCATACGACACTTTCCCGGCCCAAACCGGCCCACGCCCCCCACCGCGCCCCCACCTCGCCCGAGCATCCCCACCCCACGCGAGCTCTGTTCTTGGGACCCTCCAAACGACAATTTCCAAACCAAGACCTCCATCACGCCCCCGCATCCCCACCCCACGCGAGCTCTGTTTTTGGGACCCCCCACACGACAATTTCCCAGCCAAAACCGAACAACGCCCCCAACCGCACCCCCACCACGCCCCTGCATCCCACCCCACGCGAGCTCTGTCCTTGGGACCCGTCACGCTACAATTTCCCAGCCAAAACCGACCCGCGCCCCCCATTGCGAGCCCACCACGCTCAGGCATCCCCACCCCGCGCGAGCTCTGTCCTTGGGACCCCCCGAGCGACCAATTCCGGGCCAAAACCGGCCCACGCCCCCCACCGCGCCCCCACCACGCTCCAGCAGCCCCACCCCGCGCGAGCTCTGTTCTTGGGGCCCGTCACACGACAATTCCCCAGCCGAAACCGACACACGCCCCCCGCCGCGCCCCCGCCACGTTCTGGCATCCCCGCGCCCCGACAGCCCCACCCCACGCGAGCTGTGTTTTTGGGACCCCCCGCACGACAATTCCCCAGCCAAAACCGACCCACGCCCCCAACCGCGCCCCCACCACGCTCCAGCATCCCCACCCCGAGCGAGCTCTACCCCTGGGACCCCCCAGACGACCATTTCCTGGCCAAAACCGACCCACGCGCCCCACCGCGCCCCCGCCACGCCCCGGCATCCCCCCCCACGCGAGCTCTGTTCTTGGGACCCCTGGCATCTCCACCCCACCCCACGCGAGCACTGTTCTTGGGACGCCCCACACGACAACCCCCACCACGCCCCGGCATCCGTCACAACCATGATCGTCGAAGTATTATGGTTCTGTAGATCCGCCACCGTTCTTCAGGGCACGGAATGGGCGTGCCCTCAGGTTCGCACCATCAAGTCCGTACACTTGAGGAGTCGTGCAGAAGCCAAAACCCACATCGCGGAGTCTTCTCATGGGGGGCTTCTCGCGGTCTCTCGCGTCACTGCTTCGGAGCGATGGGAACCTCCAAACAGGGCAACAGAGCCTGAAAAACACCCAAGACGGCCCCAACCGCCCCGACTGTTCAGATATCGCCCGACACCCTACGTGGCGTCCACAGGCCCAATAAGGTCCCGACAGGTCCCAAGAAGCCTCGCAAAAAATGCCTCCCAACAGGACCTGAAGAAACAAAACACACTGATTTGCCTTCGTTCGCTCAAAGAAGTCGACGTTCCCGAGGTCCCGCATGCCACCCCAGCACTGCCCAAGAGGCCGTCCAAGGAACCCCATGGCGGCCCCCAAAAACTGGCCCAAGAGAACAAAACACAAACCACAAATCGTAACGTTCCGCCCCAAGAAGCCCCCAAGAGGCCCCAAGAGACTCCCCAGCAGGCCCCCAAAGGCTGCAAGAAACCCCCTAAGAGACCCAACAGCGACCCCACGAGGCTCTCAAACTGCCCCCAAAAAAAATCCGAGATGCAATGGAGAATCTGGAGACTCATCTGAACCCTTCCTGCCGTGCTCGGAAAAGTACCCCGACAACAAACGAATCCAACATTCGTCGCTCAAAGGGGGTCGGCGGCAGAGGCGGCAGCCTTTAGATGTCATGCCTCCCGCCCGCCGTGCGCACGGCAGCAGTGCCCGGAGCGCACTGGGGGGGGAGGGGCGTTACGTTGTGGGGGGGAGGGGCGGGAGGAGGCTACAATGCCCTCTCTCTCTATCTCTCTCTCTCTCCACATCGCTCACAGGTGCCCGCTACCCCTCCCCTCCTCTCGGCTGCCATGCGCGTGTCTCTGGAATATCTCCAAGACAAGGACTAAGACAAACGCACTCATACTCGTCTGCCCCCCCCCTCTTTGGAGGAGGCTACAATGCCCGCTCCTCGGGGCCCCGCTCCTCCTCCTCCTCCTCCTCCTCCTCCTCCTCCTCCTCCTCCTCCTCCTCCTCCTTTCCTCCTCCTCCTCCTCCTCCTCCTCCTCCTCCTCCTACAGACCATCAAGAAACACGCTCTCCGAGCCCCGCCTCGGCGGCCCCGCCTCCGAGCCGCCGAGGAGGAGGACAGGCGGGGGCACCGCTCCGCGCCCGCCGGGCGCACCGCTGGCGTGGGGGGCGTGGGGGAGGCCAAGGGCCGAGGAGTGGGGGAGGCCAAGAGACGAGGAGCTACGGAGGGGCGGGGCAGAAGAGGAGGAGGAAGAGGAGGAGGAGGAGGAGGAGGAGGAGGGGGAGGAGGAGGAGGAGGAGGAGGAGGAGGAGGAGGAGGAGGAGGAGGAGGAGGAGGGGGAGGAGGAGGAGGAGGAGGAGGAGGAGGAGGAGGAGGAGGAAAGGAGGAAAGGAGGGAAAGAAGGAGGAGGGAAAGGAGGAGGAGGAGGAGGAGGAGGAGGAGGAGGAAAGCAGGAGGAGGAGGAGAAACAGGAGGAGGAGGAGGAGGAGGATGAGGAGGAGGAGGAGGAGGAGGAGGAGGAGGGAAAGAGGAGGAGGGAAAGAGGAGGAGGAGGCGGAGGAGGAGGAAAGGAGGAGGAGGAGGCGGAGGGGGAGGAGGAGGAAAGGAGGAGGAGGCGGCGGAGGAGGAGGTGGAAAGGAGGAGGGAGCCCCCCCCAGCTCGGCCGGCCGCCCGCGCTCCTCCTCGGCCCGGGGAGGCCGGAGGTCCGCCTCGGCCACCTCCAGCTCCTGAAGGGAGGGGCCCGGCACGGCAGGGGGCGGGGCGCGACGGGCTGGTCTTATCGGGGATGGACAGACCCCCCTTTAGTAAAACGTGGTTTAGTGAAAACGCCCTTGGGCCCAAACCTGGCGGGCGCAAGCCTGGAAAAATAACGGCCGCGGCGCACTCTCGAGAACCGAAAACGGACAATTCACTAATCGACGTGTCACTGTTGGGGGTTCTGTCCGCCCCCGAGCTGGTCTTAGGTCGGGCGTGTCCCCCTACGGGGGGATTTTCGACGAAATATCAAAAAATACACCAAAAATACTCCAAGATGGTCAAAAAGTACTCCCAAAATGGTCCCCAGACTACGTTTGGATTATTTTTGGACTATTTTGGGGGTATTTTGTATTTTTCGCCGGAAGTCCCCCTGTAGGGGGACAAGCCCGACTTACCACTTGAGCGGGAGGCTGAGGATGTGGACGTTCTCTTGTTCGGCGTTGCGACACTGAGCGACCGGGGGGGGGGAGGGCGGGGGTCTGGCGAAGCGTGCGTCTTCTGGGGGAGACTCCACCTGCTCAAGACAGGCGCCAAAAACAGCCAAGATCACCTTCATGGGGGGGTGCAAGGACCTCCGCCGATCGTCCAAACAGTGACTAAATAAGCGATCGCGATCGGAACCCAGACGTGCTCGCGCCGCGAAGGAAGCGCGCCGGAGCCAGCTTCGTGGCCGCTTCCCACCTCCAGGGGGGCCCTCGCCGGGCCCCGGGGATCGCGAGCAAACGGCTCGGGACGGAGAACCTGCCCCCCCCCCTCCTCCTCCTCCTCCTCCTCCTCCTCCTCCTCCTCCTCCTCCTCCTCCTCCTCCTCCTCCTCCTCCTCCTCCTCCTCTCCTCCTCCTCCTCCTCCCCTTCCTCCTCCCTGGAAGCTGGCCCTCGGGAGGGGGCCCGTCTCCAGGGGCCCCGGGCGAGCCGTCGGCACCAGATCGGGGGGGGGCCCCGCGGGCGGACGACCGCAGCCGCAGCTTGTGCGGCCCGCACTTTTGACGTCGGGGCGTCTGCGAGCTGTGTACACGCCGGGCGGCTCCGCCTGGCAGGTCGGGGCCCTCGGGCCCTCACCCCGATGGTCCGCTACCGAAAATTTCCGGTAGCGCTCCGCAGAGATCGGTCGCTACCGAAATACCGAAATGTAGCGCCCAATACCGGCATCAGAGCGCTCTGAAATCCGCTGTTTCAACGCCCTCAAACGAAGATCCGGTCGCTACCGAAATTCGGGGTGCGTCGAAATCGCTACCGAAAAATTCCGGCACCAGACCATCCGGGCACGGGTCGAGCCGGCCTGCGCGGAGTGCAGCAGAGAGACTCGGGGCTCCCGTGATTAGGTCGGGCATTGTCATCCTGCGGGCGGATTTTTTGGAAGAGCGTGCAACCTTCGCATGAAAGAGAAAAAAAACAAAAGGGCATGAAACATCGTTTCCGTACTATGTTTTGACTATTCTTGAGCTTTCCTCCTGTGGATGGACATGCCCGACTTGAGGGTATGGATACGTTCGCCGCCCGTAAAGGTCGGATCGGAGCGTCGGATCGGGCCGCGCTAGCCTTGGGCGCGAGCGAACGGGAAGGCGATGTGTGGGGTGGGGGGGGGGCAGACAGGTGCCGTTCTCTGACCCTGGCGGCCCCCTCTGAGGCCCGAAAGGTCCCCTCGGGGGGCCCTACAGGGCCCCATTTCTGCAGCCCTCACTACCCACCCGCTCCCCTCAAACTATCGCCCCCCGAATTGCGCGCCCTCCGAGCCACGGCGTCGGTTAGCGACGCGCGGAGGGGGACAGGGGAGGACGGCAGGCTTTTCAGAAGGAGGCTGCTTCTCAGCAGGCGCCGGCCTCACATCTACAGACGAGGCCCGCGCCTTCTTAGGAGCAAGGGTCCTCCTAAGAAACCTTCCCCCGTCCCCCAATCCTCCTGTGAACGCCGCCAATTTGAACGCCCGAAATGGGTACGGAAAAAATGGGTACGATGTCCAACAACATATATTGCCCCAAACCGACAGCGGCCGCTGTTGGGCAGGCGGCCTTGTGTCTCAAGTGAACAACATCCGCGGCGGCACGGACAGCGAGTCCTAGTCAAAGTGAACAGGAACTGCTGTTGGACATCGTACCCATTTTTCCCGTACTCATTTCGTTCGTGCCGAGCCAAGCCAGAGAACCGAGCCGGGCCGGCTGCGCCCATGGGGGTGCACACAGCAGCGATAGGTCGGGCGTGTCTTGCAGGCGGATTTTGGACGAAAGCTAACAAAAATATCAGAACAATATTCCAAAAAGGTCAAACATAGCCCCCAAAATCGCCCCTAGACATTTGATGATTGACTAATTTTGAACATCCCTCCTGCAGCGACGCTCTGCCTCCCTGTGCACGCCGCTAAATCGGAGAACCGAGCCTGGCCGGCTGCGCCCACGCGGGGGTGCGCACATCGGGCTGGGCAAGCGGGTGGGATGGCCAGTGGGGGGGGGAGAGATGCAGCTCACGTGGCTGATGCTCCCCGCGCCTCCTGGCGCCAGGAGGCGCCCGGGCATCGAGGAAAGGGCCCGGCGGCGGGGCCGAAACGAGCTGCACGTAGCAGATTTCGCCCTCCCCCCTCCCCTTCCCTCTCCCCCCATTCCGTGCAGCCCCCCCTTATCCCATGTTCAAAACATCTTAGAACATGTATAAAGACATGTTCTAGACATCTGGAGAGTAGTTGGCAACATGCTTTCTCCAGAAGAGGAGGAGGAGGAGGAGGAGGAGGAGGAGGAGGAGAAGCAGGGAGGAGAAGCAGGGAGGAGAAGCAGGGATGAGGAGGAGGAGGAGGCGGAGGAGGAGGGAAGCAGGGAGGAGGAGGAGGAGGAGGAGGAGGAGGAGGAGGAGGAGGAGGAGGAGGAGGAGGAGGAGGAGGAGGAGGCGGAGGGAGGAGGAGGAGGCGGAGGAGGAGGGAAACAGGGAGGAGGAGGAGGAGGAGGAGAGGAGGAGGAGGAGGAGGAGGAGGAGGAGGAGAGGAAGAGGAAGGAGGAGGAGGAGGAGGAGGAGGAGGAGGAGGAGGAGGAGCAGGAGGAGGAGCAGGGGGAGGAGGAGGAGGAGGAGGAGCAGGAGAGGAGGAGGAGGAGGAGGAGGAGGAGGAGGAGGAGGAGGAGGAGGAGGAGGAGGAGGAGGAGGAGGAGGAGGAGGAGCAGGAGGAGGAGGAGGAGGAGGAGGAGGAGGAGGGAGGAGGAGGAGGAGGAGGAGGAGGAGGAGGAGGAGGAGGAGGAGGAGGAGAACTTCGCTCGGGCCCGAGCACAGCAACGCCGCGAGGGCATCGGGCCGCCCCGGGCCCGCCGGAGCACGGGGCGCCGGCTCGGGGGCTCGGCAGTGGAGGGCGGGAGCCGGACGAGGCCCAGGCGGCCGAGGCCCAGGGGTGCTGCTCCGTGCGGGCGGGAGGGGCCCAGGTCGGGTGGCGCGCAAGGAGGGGTACAGTCGGAGCGTTTTGGCCTAAGGAACCCCAAATAAGGAACGGGGCCCCATTTTTCCATAAGTCAAACTTTGATTGCCCATCGAAAACCTGAGGAAAACCTCAGGCAGGCTGCAAGACGATGAAGGAACACCGAGCCCCTCCCCAACGGAAAGGGTTCCTTCTTCAGCGCCCCGACTGTAAGGAAGGGGGAGGGCTTCTCAGAAGGAGGCTGCCTCTTAGAACGCGCCGGCCTCAGATCTGCACACGAGGCCCGCACCTTCTAAGAAGCAGGGGTGCTTCCAAGAAGCACTGCCCCCTCCCCCCACCTCCCTCTGCGCGTGGCCGACCAGGGGCACCCGGATGAACAGGCTCAGGTCGGGCAGGGCCCCTACTGGGTGATTCTGCTGGACGAAAGAACAAAAGTACCCACGAAATAATCAAGAGTACTGAACAAATAAACCCAAGAGGCTGCAGGGGCCCCCAAGACGCCGACAAGGAGCCCTAAGAGACTCCCAAAAGGTCCCCAAAAAGGCCCCCAAGAGGCCCTAAAGAGGGCTCCAGGGCCGGCGGAATGAGCGAAGCGATTAAATTTAAGTACCCACAAAATCATCAAGAATACTGAAAGAAAGACTCAAGAAATGGTCCCCATACTGTTTTGTTTGACTATTTTTGTGTACTCCTCCTGTAGAGGGACAGGCCCGACTTGAGAATAGGCACAAATATCCCAAGATTCCCTAAGCATTTCGTATTTTCTGGACTCTCGTCTTCCCCGCCACTTCCCAGATGTCCCGATCTTCTCCTGGGGATCGACGATTCTTTGTGCCTGTGTTTTTTTCCTCCCGAACGGAGTCCCTCGAACTCCCGATCCGCTCCCCAGGGCCAAATAATCTTGTTGATGGCCCCGAGGCCCAGCGGGAGCCCCTGGAGGCCGACGACAGACAAGTCACGACGTGAGCATGACTGGGGATCGATGTCGGGTCGGCATCGATCTCGGGTCGGCCCGACCCGATATCGATGCCAGCGCAACCACGCGGCACCGGTGCCGACGCGAGGCCAAGCTCATTCTGGAAGAAAAGACCGCCCGACCCCCTCGGGCCAGCACCAAAGGTCGCTTTAGCGAGCGGTCATATTCGGGGGCGGCCAAGAGGGGGGCGGCCAAGAGGGGGGGGTGCAAATCATGGCTGGCGGCATGTGCGCTGCCCAAAGGGGGGGGCAGGGACGTAGTGGAATCAGAAGAGGCGCCATGAAATCTGGGGACATATCATGGCCCCCGCCCAGAAATCCCCCCCCCCTAGTCATCACCCCCCTCTTTGCCGCCCCCGAACTATTGCGTGTAGTCGATCGGGGTGGGGCCAGGCGCGTCCTTGCCAGTGCTGCCGCTTCCCCTGCCGACTGCCCCGGGGGCCGCTGCCGCTCCTGCTCCGCCTCGGGCTGCTGACGCGGTGCCTCCTCGCCCCTCGTCGTGGCTCGACGTCGTCGATGTCGTGCGTCGCGGTCGTCGCCGGCCGTCGTCGTCGTCGGT